TGCAAAACCCCGGACTCATTATTCATTCATTTGTTCATTCATTCAACAGCGGAATTACCGAGCGCCTACTCTGTGCCAGGTGCTGTTCCCAGCACTGAGGCCAAAGCCACCAATAAGACAGACAAAGGCTGACACTTCACGGGAGACACAGGCAGGAAATAAATAACAGCAATAAAGGAAAATAAAGCTGGAGAGGACAAAAATGCCGGGGTTGGGGGGAGCAATTTTAAACAGGGGGTCAGAGTGGGCTTCCACAGGAGGTGATATCTGAGCTGAGCCTGTAGGGGATGAGGGAGGGAGGGAGCTAGGGGATTTTGGCTCCTGGCATCGCAGGGGTGGGTTTACCTGCCGTGTGTCCCCAGACTGCTGACTAAGCATTTCCGAGCCTCGGTTTCCCTCTGTAAAAGAGGGACAGTTGTATTGAGCTCACGTGGCTCTCGGGAAGGTTGGGCGTGATTGTGCGTCTGGCACATAGTGGGTGGGCGACCAGCAGTTGCTGTTAATAACAAGATTCAAATAACTGAGCGAATCCACATGCTTGCCCCTTGTCAGTGACCTTGGAGCCTATCGTGTCCTGGGTGGTGGGGAGTCCCAGTGAGGGCTCAGACCCGCGACCTGTCCTGTGTGAGCACCTATGTGCTCAGGGCTGGGGCCTGGGGCCAGGAGGGTGGGGGGCGCTGGGCATCTTTCTTTCGAGGAAAATGTAGCTCTAACCGGGGCCTCCAGAGTGGGAGCTATGAGTGTGACCAGATAATGATGGCCGGGTGTCGGAGGGGTGGGAGTGTTGGTCTGGTTTTGAGGGATACATAAGACTCCCCAGGTAATGAAAGGGGATGGATGTGTCAGGCAGAGGGGATGAGGGGGGAGCCAGCCCCAGTCCCAGTGGGGGCCTCAACCTGGGGACACTGGGGACCATGATGGAGAGCAAGCAGGAAAGAGCCAGTCAGGGACCCATTTAGGGAGACTCCTCCAGGTTGTTGGGGGACGGAGGCGGGAGGCGAGCCTGCAGCAGCCATATTCCCAGCGTGCTAGCCCGTCCTCACTCCCGATCCCACGGGGAGCAGCCTCAGTCCAGCACCCACTGCTCAACGTCTCCCACCCGCTCTGCCCCCTCCTCACCCACGGCCCACGGGCCACATGCTCTCCAGCCAGACCCCGTCACTGCCATGGCGGAGCCCTCCTGCTGTCGCGTGGTGCTGGGACATCTGACCCGCCCCCGGGCGTGCCCAGCCCCGGCTCGTCTAGCTTGGCACACACTGCGCTCGGCACCGCACACATGCAAAGTCATGATTAGATCATGACAACGAAAGGCTCCCCCCACCCCGCCCCCCCCTTGGCTTGCCCCAGCTCAGCAGTTGGGAGAAGGAAGGAAAAAATGAAATCGTGACCCTCGATCTGTCTCATTCTGTCTCATCACCACCCCCCACCCCCCCACTGTTCTCGGGGATTATCTGCCATTTTTAAGCTAGAGAGTGAAGCTCAGAGAGGCACTTTAACTTGTCCAAGGTCACAGAGCCACAGCCAGCACCCAACACCCATCTCTTTCCAAGTCCAGGGCCCTCGCTCCCCACCATGTTAGCACACCCAAGAACACCTTTCTCATCTCTCAGCATGTACCGGCCGCTGTCCCACGGCTTCAGGCTTCTGGCCCCGCCTGGAGGTTACAAGGCCTCGGGCATGTTCCTAGGCGCCTCCCTAGCCAGCATCTAGGACAGCAGGATGGCCGGTCCTGGGGCGCCCACCGCACACACCCACCTCCCTCAGTCCCCGGGCTTTCTTCCCTGATGGAATTGGGGGCGGGGGGGGCAGTGATGGATAAGCCACACTCCTTCTGGGGCTGGGAGGGGGTTCCCGTTCCCAATCAGAGTCTCATTCACACATCCATGGTTTGGTATGCTCGTACTGACTGCCACACACACGCGTGCGCACGCGCACACACACACACACACACACACACACACACACACACACACAGTGCACTCCTCGGCCTGCACAGCCTCCCTGGGCTGTGGGTGGCCACTTGCATGAGACTGGTGGCCTGCTGTGTCTCAGATTAACGTATCTCCATCCCTCCCCTCTGCCTGCCTGCCTCTCTCTCTCTCTCTCTCTCTCTCTCTCTCTCTCTCTCTCTCTCTCTCAAGTCTATGATCTCCAGCTCTGCGCGTCCCAGGCACCCTCTTCCAACTCCCCAAAGAAAGTCCCCTTGCCCAGGGCCATGGAAGCTGGAACCCTGCACCCCAGGCGGCAGGCCCAGCCCACACTCCTATCTGAATAAGGTGACGCGGGGGCCGCCCTCGCCCTCCGTCCGAGCATGGAGGTGCCCGGGCCCCCAGTGTCCAGCAAGCCGGGAGAGACCTCAGTCAAATGGCAGCTCTGCTATGACATGACGGCCAAAATGTGGTGGATGGTGAGTGCGGAGGTGCCCGCTGGCACCCGGGTGGGGGCTTGTGCGGTTGTCCAGGGGGCAGGGGGCACAGTGGGCAGTGAGTGGGCCTCCCAGGTGCATGGACACTTGAGCATCGGTGCTGGGGTGTCCAGCACGGTTGGCAGCGGTGGCGACCCCAGCCTGGGCATTCGCAAAAGAGGAAAGGTGGCCAGAAGTGGGGAAACCGAGAGCAGGCAGTGGACAGGAAAGCCACTCTGGAGTCTGGCAGTGGGAAGCGTGTCCGAGACTCCCCAGACCAAGTGTGTGAGCGTGCCAGCCGGTTCCGGGGGCCGGGAGGGCGTGAGGGCGGCCGCTATCTGGGAAGGTCGGCCGTGAGTTAGCTGGACCCGGAGCCCTTGCAATGGCGCAGCCGTGACTTGCTGCGGCCCCAGGGCCTGCGATGGGGAGATCTGAGTGCGTGAGGTCTCAGGGGCTGCAGGGGTGCTGGGGAGCACCCGAGTTCCCAGGCCAGGAGGCAGGAAGCTCAGGGTCTGAGCTGCTGTAGGACTCTGGACATTTCTGTGCTCCCCGAGCCCTTCAGCCCCCACCCCTGAGCCGGAGCACCCTCCTGGAAGCTTCCGGGACCCAGACGATAGGGTGAGAAGCCAGAGCACGGCCAGCCATGGAGCCTGGGGCTGGAAGTCCACCGTCTGACTCTCTCGGGCCGGCATGAGGCCGCTAGGCCAGCACGCTGTTGTCTGCCCCGCTGTCCATCCAACCATCCAGGTCTGACCTGTCACTCGTAGTGGAACTCCGACCCTGTCGACACGGGTCTAGACCACACACACCTGGGTTCCAGCCTGGGCGTGCTGTGTGATCTCAGGCCAGTGGCTTACCATCTCTGGCCCTTAGGTTCCCCCTCAGGGAAATGGTGTGTGGCTTGGACATCTTGGGCTTCGTGGCCAGAGCTTTGTGAGTCCCCGAGGCAGGTGGGGCCTCAGGATGGGAGACACAGCACCTTACGACCTGTCGCGACCCCTCTGGCTTGGGCGTGGCGGTGGCGGTGGAGCTGCCCCCCACCCCCACCCCCGCCGTCTTAGAGCACCTGGTCTCAGCATCCATGAGGACAGAGATTTCCCCCTTATCCCGGGAAAATTTCGTGAGTCAGTTTTGTTGTCCGTTCTGCATTCGGCCAGCATTTACTGAATACCTACTGTGTCTCTTGTTTTCATGCTGGGGACACAGCAGTGACCCAGACAAAGACCCGTGTCCTCCTGGGGCTGATGTCCCAGTGGGGGAGACAGAAAATAAAAATAGCTGTGCACAGAGTAGGAGTTGGTTATAATTGTGTAAGGGGTTATGAGTAGGTGGGGGCTTTGAGACGAGGTGATCTCGGAGGGCTTCTCTGAGGAGGTGACATCTGATCTGGAACCTGGCAGATGACAGGATTCATTAGAAGAAAAGGGTGAAGATGGTCAGTGCAAAGGCCCTGGGGCAGGACCAGACCGGGGCTGGCGTGTCGGAGGACCATCTAGGAGGCTCCTGTGGCAGGAGCAGAGGGAGTGAGGGGCAGAGAGGGAGGAGGGGAGGGGCCGGGGCAGGTGTGCAGGGCCCTGTGGGCCTCAGGGACTTGGGCTTCGACCCCAGGAGCGCAGTGGGCAGAGGAGGATGGGATTTGTTTTACAGTTTTTAATGCGGCCTTGGTATTTTGCAGGGAGAAGAGGTAGTCTGGGCTGATGTGGCAGCCAGAGACGGGGGGCTGGAGATGCTAGGGGGGCATCCAGACCAGGTGGGAGGAAGTGGGTGGGTTTCAGATGAAGGATGATGTGGGCTTGGCGATTCACCCGGAAACTCAGACGGCAGAGTGACTTGCTCAAAGCCACAGCAAGGGAAGGGCAGAGCTGACCATAGGAGAAGAGACCTGGGGCCAGAGGTCCGAGGTGAGGGTAGCGACTTCCCATCCCCCATCTCCAGGGTCCTGGGAGAGTCAAGTGGAACTGGCCGTTTGAGAAAAGGCAAATGTTTCTGTGCATTCTTAGGGTCTCATCAATAGAGGTAGAAGCCCCAGTGCAGGGAAGGTTATGGACCCACGAACCAGCCGAGGGCAGGTGTCAAACTGGGGTACATTTGCAGGAGAGGAAAAGAGGATGGAGCTCAGCAGCCTGCAGGGAAGACTGAGGGGCCCCCAGCTTCAGCCGAGAAGAAGATGCCTGGGAGCACACGGTTCAGCTCACCGCGCCCCTCCTGGCCTTCCTCTGGGCTCAGCTCCCAGCTGGGTCCTTGGGTTCCCCAGGAAGGGTCAGCTCCAGCCCCCCCCACGCCCTCAGTGAGCCCCCAGTCACAAGAGCCGGAGCAGCCAAACCCCAGACAGGTCTCAGACCTCTCCAGCAAGGCTGCCCTTGGTGTAGGAAGTTGATGAGGGTGGGGAGTGGTGGGGGGATGGGGGTGTCTGTGCAACCCCAGAAATCAGAGCTCTGCCTGTGCAAGGTCAGTTCAGCTTCCGTAAGGACTTCCTCCTCCTTACCCGCTGAAGGTAGTGAGGCATCCGTCACAGGAGGCATCCAAGCCCCCATTGGTGAGAATGTCATCCTCTTAAGCAGAGTGGGCCGAGTGATTAGGAAAGGATCCCTTTATGCTCAGAGCATCGAGGATCCCCAGAGGGGTGAGGGGTCCAGCCAACCCCAGGGGTCTGGATGGGGGTGGGGGACAGCAGGTAGGGGTCAGAGGTTCCAGCCTCAGCCCTCCGATCTCAGATGGACTCAGCGTCTCTCGCAAGCCCGAGTTCGCCAGACTTTCGGGGCTCTCGGAAATATATGAACTTCTTTTACAATCCAAAGAAAGCAGTGGCTATGACATAAGGAACATATGCGAGTGAATGCGGCCCCAGCACATTCACCCGAATACCACCGCGGCCCTGAAAGATAATGCTGAGTAATTTTATCTTCACAGAGGAAGGCAAAGCGCCACGCAGCTAAGTCCATCCAATCTCTGTCATTCGTTCAGAGAGCAGGCGATCTCACCTCTGCGCCTGCCTCGGGTTCCCCATCTGTAAAATGGGGGAGCATGAATTAACGGATCCCCTCCCCCCCGCCACACGCACAGGGTCCTTGTGGGAAATCCAGTGAGTGGATGACTGTGGAGGTGTCTTGCAAGTCGTGAAGGGCCGAGCCGGGTCGGGCACTGTGGCGCTCACGCAGCTAAAGCGGGAGATGGCGACGAGACCGCAGAACTTCCGCGGTCGCTCCATCTGTTCAGTGAGTGCCCGTTACGCGTCTGCGGCCAACCAGGCCGAGCCAGCCCTGCCCCTCCTGGGCTCACAGCCCAGTGCGGGGACAGCGAGAGAGAAAGTGAATAAATGCACGAGGTGGTTTCCCATCGGGAGAAAGGCTGCCGCGACGTTAGCAGAGGGCGATGGGGGCCAGCAGGGCAGGGAAGGCCTTTCCGAGGAGGTGACATTGCGGCCTGAGCGACCTCAGTGGACCGACGGTCTGGGGGCGGGGGGCAGAGAGAACAGCATGTGCAAAGGCCCCGGGGCAGGACCGAGCCTGGCGTGTTGGAGGAGCAGCGAGGAGGCCCCTGTGGCGGGAGCGGAGTGAGCGAGGGGGACAGAGCGAGGGGGTGCGGGGAGGGGACGGGGTCGGCCGCGCAGGGCCTTGTGGGCCTCAGGAGGACTTGAGTTTTATTCACCGAGCACTAGGGAGCCTGGGAGGACCGTGAGCAGGGGCGGGCCTCCCCCGTCTGCCCATACTGGTCCCCCTGCCCGTCTGTGAATGCCACCCGCTGCCTCCCCCGCTGGGTGCCCGGCGCTGGAGTGGGGGGTCGCGGGGTGCGCAGTCTCCCCAGCCCCCGGCCTGCGCCCGCCCGGCCGCCGCCCACTCTGCCCACATCTGAGGCGCCGAGGAGCCGGACAGTCTGCTGCAAACCACGGAATGTTTCCCCGAGCGCCTGGGCCGGGAATGTCGGCGGGGAGGGGGAGAAGGGCGGGGAGCCCCGAGAAAAGGGTCGGGGAGACGCAGAAAGCAGGGCCAGGGTGCGGGGCGGGCGGGCGGCACCACACACCGACGTGATGCCCCCCGCTTTACAGATGGGGAAACTGAGGCACGGAGTGGCGGATGGATTTGTCCACGGAACTGGGAGGGGCAGTCCTGGGATTCAAACCCAGGCCACCTGGCTGCCGCGTCGAAGGGCGTAACCACTAACCCGCGGGAAAGGGGTTAGCGCAGCTTTTTCAGTGAATAAATGAGTGGATGAATGAATGAACAAAGGGTGTCAGTGGGTGAATGAAGGCAGCCAGCACCAGCTAGCTCGGGCCCCCATTTCAGCCTGACGCAAACCAGACCCCTGATGGCACCCAGCAGACCCCCACCCTCCAGTTCCCGGCCCGTCCGCCTTCTAGAAGTCTGTCCTGGTATCCGACCTCTGCCTCTCCTCCATCCCTGTTTCTCTAGGGCAGATAAACATGAGGTGTCCCGACTCTCCCCTGGGGGCTTCTGAGGCTGCCCCTCCAGGAGAAGGGGAGAACCGGGCTGCTGCTCATTTTAGAAGTCGTCAGAGAAGGGAAAGCCAGGGCTCAGAGAGGGACAGCACCTTTTCCGAGGTCACACAGCACACGGCTGTAAACTCATAGCCCTGAGCTGAGATCTCAGACGATAGCCAATAGGTTTGCATCCCGCTGAGCCTCTCATGTCATATTTTGTTCCATCTTCCCAAGAAGCCTGTGAAGCGGGAACTGTTATTCTCACCATCTTATGGATGGGGAAACTGAGGCCCAGAGAGGGGCCGTCACTGTCCGAGGTCGCAGGGTAACGTGTGACGGTTCACAGCTCACCTGCTGCACCAGCGTGAGAACAGGCATCAGCGTCTGGCTTTGCCATCTGTGAATGGATGATATTCTGGGAGGCTGCATCACCCAGAAGGTGCGTGTCGCACCCTAGTTTCACAATAAGCGCTCGTGAGCTTCATGACATGGAGCTCGTGTCTAACTTTCCACCTGGTGGCCTTGCAAACCTTTGAGAGCCTGAAGGGCAGAGCCAATGGCAGGGTGGAGGCACCCGATCCTTTGATAGGAAGTCACGAGCAGGAGCAGTGCCCGGCTGGGGCCTTAATGGAGAATATGGCATCCGAGCCAGGCCTGGAAGGGTGCTAACTAAGGCTTTCAACCACGGAGATGGCAGGGAGACCGTTCCTGGCGGAAGGAACTGCTCAGAGGCATGGAGGTGGGACAGTGCTGGGTGTGGCAGCTGTAACAGAGAGGAGGTGAGACAGATGTGCCGAGTCAGACGTGACGGTCCTCGAATGCCAGGGCAACGGGGAGTCACGGGAGGGTCATGGGCCGATCTAAGACAGGTGTGGGGGTCAGGAGGATATGGAAGCCGGCATCCAGATGGAAGGAAAGGAGACTTGTGGGTGGGTCGGGGAGAGGCCTGGGAGGAGAGTAGGTAGAACGTGGGGACCGACGGGCAGACGGGAATGCGGGGGAGGGAGGAGATGAAGCTGATACTTGGACCCGTGGCTCAGGGGTGGGGAGCAGCTATGGGGTTGACCCTGAGATGGGGACACAGGGGAGGAGGAAGATTCTGAATCCAGAGCCCCTGGGGGATGTTCTGGGGGGTATGCCGAGTCGGTGTGGAGAAGCCCACTGGGCTTAAAATAGTACCTGGTACCTCCTACGGGATCAAGAACTGCCTTCAGTGGAATGGAGGAAGTAATGGGTGGACAGGTATAGGGATGGAGGTAGGGACAGCTGGCTAGCTGGGTGAGTGGGTGGATGGATGGATGGACAGATGGATGAATGGACAAATGGATGGATGGACAGGTGGACAGATGAATGGATGATGGATGGGTGGGTGAGTAGGTAGGTGAGTGGGTGGATGGAGGGGTGGGTGGATGGGTGGATGGATGGATGGGTGGGTAGATGGATGGATGGATAGTTGGATGGGTGGATGGATAGGTGGATGGACAAATGGACAGGT